TTGTCAAAAACAAGAAGATCAAAGAAGCCAGATCATTTAATTTCACATTCAGATAAATTGATGATGTTCTTTCCATAAACAATTCAAACTTATCTGATTGGGTTCCATTAATATATCCTCCAGAACTAGAAATTAAAGAAACAACAGACACGGCTTTCTCTGACTCATTTTTATAGTTATACCTCAAATTTGACATAAGCGGTCAGCTCAGTACCAGAATCTATGACAAACGAGACGATTTTGATTTTGAAATTATCAATTTCTCCACCTCAGTAGCAATATACCAACTTCACCTGCATATGGTTTATACATTTCCCAACTCATTCGGTATTCAAGAGCTCGCAGCTGCTACTCAGACTTTGTAAAACGTCACCAGTGTCTGAGCAGAAAGTTGATGAACCAGGGTTATGTAAAGGAACGTCTCGTCCTTTTTTCTAAAAAAGTTCATCAGAAGATATCAAGACCTTGTTGATAAATATTCCGTATCAACTTCAAAAATAATACATGATGGTCTCGATTTTGTCATCAGCAAATTAAAACATAACTAAATTTGTATTCTTTTCAAACGTTTTTTTGGGATGTATAAATACACATCCACGTTCATTTTTTATATAGAGATTACTCTATCTATATATTACATTATACATATTTTTAGTCTCTGATGCATGATATTGTATTATTAATTGTTTTTGGTTTTAACTAGCTTTCAGTAACTGCGAGTACTTTCGTGTTAATTTGACCTGTTGATACAATTTGTAATGTATTTTTGTTATTTAATGTTTACTTATTCAGTGTTATATCTAGACTCACTATTTTTAATATATACCACCTTTGATAAGTGTTTAGTATGACGATAAATTTTCACTTTTGTTCTCGTACTAGGAACAACAAAATTATTTATTTTGTAAAAATTATTTCCGTACTCCATGTATACCTTACAACAAAATTATTTTTATTTACCTATGTACGTTCTTTTATTTGGCGGCATTTTGTCCAAGGTTATGGTTGTCTTTCTGTTATTGTTTTACATCTAACCCCCTTGTCTGATTAATTTTATATTTAAATTGTGTCATAGATCAAATTTATTTGTTCAGTGTATGTTCACTTGTTTTTGTTAATATGTCTTTTGATTGGGTTAAGCCATTTTAATTGATATTTTATAGTGTGTCTTTCTATGTTGTGATGTTACACTATTGTTTCAGGTAGGTTGAAGGTTGGCGCCTATTAAAACGTTTAAACCCGCTGCATTTGTTTGCACCTGTCCTAAGTCAGGAACCTGATGTTCAGTGGTTGTCGTTTGTTGATGTGGTTCATAAGTGTTTCTCGTTTCTCGTTTTTTATATAGATTATGTGACAGAATATAAGTTCCCCCTAAGTATTTGTTCCAAAGAACGTTTAGCATATAAGAAAAGTTCCATTGGGAACTTTCCTTATATAATACTTTATCCAATGCTAAAAGAAAATTTCCCTCACAAAGGATAAAATATTACATAATGAAAGTTCCCAATGGAACTTTTGTTACATACTTAAAGATCTTTGAAATAAATATTATGGACAATGTTTTGACATTAGAAGTACCAAGAACAACATCAAATAGGGGTGACATGTATCATTAAACACAAAATCATTTTATTAAACAATACCAATATCAACCTGTTAAAATCTATATGATTCATTGACAATCAGAATCAGTCGTATACATATTTTGTTATAAAAGACCTTTACATGTTGGAAAAATTGCCAACAGTGTATTAAGTTTGGGCAAAATTCATTATAGGATGTATACGAGGATGTTATAGACTGAAATGTGTAAGTTCATCTGTGATATTCACCTTTGACCTTGAAAATCAATATGCTTAAAGACAAGGACTAACAGTTTACTAAGTTTGGATAAAATCCATTGCAGGATGTTGATTGACAGTTGTAGATTAATAAAAGTGTCAAGAATTTTTGTTATATAACCAAAAGTACCAGGAAAATTTATTATATGATAAAAGTTCCAGGAATATTTGTTAATATGTAATAAAAGTTCCAAGAATATTTGTTATATAATAAAAGTTTCAGGAATATTTGTTATATAACCATGATACATGACACTCTTTCTTTAATGGAACAAATATTATGAAACCATATCATGATTTAGTTCCAGGAAAATATCTTATGAAGGTGGAAATAATATTATGTAATGTTTGTTCCCAAGAACTTTTATTATCCATAGTTTGGTTCAAGGGGGAACAAGTATTATGCGAAACAAATATATGTTCACAATACCACAACTTCTTATATCTATTGATATATAGATTCTAGGTACTGACGTTGTTTATCATCTTAATTACGTGTTATAGTGTTCTTTTATTTGTCTTTGTAAATTTTTAACGTTTACTGTTTGGTCCATTTTTGGTAATATCCTAGCTATAGGCGTGGCTCGGTACTTGTACATCCCGCCATTGTGTTGGTGTGCTGTGGTCATTTTTCAGTGTAGTCTTTTGTTTCGTCTTTGCGTATGTGCTTTGTTTATATGCCATTTTGTTTTTCTTTGTTGACATATTTGTTTGTTTTTATAGTGATTGAGATTATAACACAATGTTGACTGCTGTACCCCTATTTTTTACATGTTTACATTTTATGTCTGTTTGTTTTGTTCACACATTGTTGTCAATATAATGGAATTTTATGCGACTGTCATACAAGTGAGAAGTTTGGCTAGCTTTAAAACCAGGTTTAGTCAACCATTTTCTACATATGGAAATGCCTGTACCAAGTCAGGAATATGACAGTTGTTTTTCATTCGTTTGATGTGTTTGAGCTTTTGATTTTGCCATGCAATTGTTTAGGGACTTTCCGTTTTTGAATTTTCCTTGGAGTTCGGTATTTTTGTTGTTTTACTATTTTTTGTATTATATAAACGGATTCTGACAACTGATAAAACTTCACTTCGTTTCATCAACTTTCCAAATCGACTCTTTAAATGAAACATACAAATTGGTCAAACTTTTCTAGGACAAACAAACAAACTAAAAGTAAATCAATGATAAATGTCTGAAGAAAAAATGGACCAAATAGGAAAATCAAAACACCTTCTTATTGGTTGCAAATCGAATTGAGAAAAACACAAGTCATTTAGGACTTACATACTTTACAATGCTTTTATAATACCTTACCCAAATAAGAAAATGTTAACCTTTCTCTTGTTCTTGTTTTGTAATTCCATGCATTACACCAAAATCCAAATAACGAAAACGCATACGACAATTAACGTACTGACGAAGTTCCTGACTTTGGACAGACAGACTGAAGCTAACAAAACCTTTAAATAGACTTATTAAGAAGGGATATAGTTACGATACTGTTGTCAGGTCATTAAAGATTGCATATTTTGGCGTTGATATTGATTCACTTATAGGGTCTTTGCATCGGCACTAAACACATTTATTTAAAAACCAGTTGTTGGCATGACACGGGTTATGTTCTTCTCATATATGTTATGATGGTATGATACTAAACCCCTAACGGGAAGGATTGTGCCTGATATTCATATGATGAAGACATAATCTTTCAATCAGTTTAATTGAAGTCTGGAGCTGGCATGTCAGTTAACTGCTAGTAGTCTGTTGTTATATATGTATTATTGTCATTTTGTTTATTTTCTTTGGTTACATCTTCTGACATCAGACTCGGACTTCTTTTGAACTGAATTTTAATGTGCGTATTGTTATGCGTTTACTTTTCTACATTGGCTAGAGGTATAGGGGGAGGGTTGAGATCTCATAAACATGTTTAACCCCGCCGCATTTTTGCGCCTGTCCCAAGTCAGGAGCCTCTAGCCTTTGTTAGTCTTGTATTATTTTTAATTTTAGTTTCTTGTGTACAATTTGGAGTTTAGTATGGCGTTCATTATCACTGAACTAGTATATATATTTGTTTAGGGGCCAGCTGAAGGACGCCTCCGGGTGCGGGAATTTCTCGCTGCATTGAAGACCTGTTGGTGACCTTCTGCTGTTGTCTGTTCTATGGTCGGGTTGTTGTCTCTTTGACACATTCCCCATTTCCATTCTCAATTTTATATGAAAATGTGGTGGGTCTATACTATTTTTTTTTAAATATCAACGCTCTCCCTTTTTAAATATTGATGATAAGTAGATTAACAAGACCAGAGTCATTTAAAGTATGTATAATATATGGACCCCATAGGAAATAAGCCGTATGGCTTTCATGAGCAATCCAGATGATCAGATTAGGTATCAACAACTGTTTTAAGATTTTACGATTTTAGTATGCTTACATGTCTGCTATTGTTGTATACTTCTTTTGTAATGATTTATGTTGATATTTTCATTATAACCAATCATTGTTAATCACAGATGTTAAGTTATGTATTTATTTTGTTTTGTTATGAATGATTTTTATGCTCAGCAATGGGTGCCATAATTGGCTAACAATATATCTTGTATCTTGTATTTGATCAAATAAATCTATTTATCTTTTTGAAATTAAGTCGCTTACAGTACTTGAAAATACACAATATTAATGCAAATATATCGAGAAAAAAAAAGAGAAATCTAAATACTATTAAACATATGGTCAAATCTGTTTTGATGGGTTATAAGGTTTAGTAATTATATTTCCCTTTTTCCTTTTTAATATCTGGACAGACAACAAATTGAACAATTCTAAAATCTTTACATTCACCCTGACTTGAGAGGCAACTTCTTTTCATCAGAGACATATTCACGTGATACATATCTATATATATGTCTCTGTTTTCATACCCTTAAATGAAAAATAGCTCCGGCTAGATAGCACAAGATTAAAAGTATCTTACTGTTTTAATTAGTCATTATTTTAATAAAGTCATTAGATACAAAACAAACAATTTCAAATCAATCAATCAATCAATTTAAAAGCTGTAAAAAAAATTAAAAAAAGAAACGCCGGAAAAATATAGTGTCCGTGTCGTCTGTATTCTAATTTTACAAATCCCAGAAGCGGAAATGCGCATGCCAGAAGGCGGAAATTTTGAACAATTTTTGTTTTGTTTTGAGGGCTGAATTTTTATTTTTCTTTAAAATGAGTGAGGAGAATGAATGGGAACTCAGTAAAGAAAATGTGCAACCCATCCGTCAAGGAAGACACTTTTCAAATCTTTCAGCTTCTCTGCAGTCATCGGAAGACCAACTGGCTCAGTTAAGAAAAGAGAAACAGTAAGATTCAAGCCAAAACTGGCAAAATTCATATAATTTTTCATGGCATTTTTATAATCCGTTTTGGGATTCTATGTCCGGATATTTTTTTCTGATTTGGCCATCCTTCAAATAACATCTCCAGGAATAAAACTGAACTTGGCGACCACAATACTTGTATATCTAGTATTGTCAACAATACTCGTATATAATTAATGTACAAGTATTGTACAAAAAATGTTCAAAACCAATAGGGTTTGTTATTATTCATTGATGTGTTTTATCAACAACTTGCTGGTGTTTTTTTGTTCTAATGCATTTAGGCAGATATAAAAATTGAGACTATGTAAAAAAAAGTATGTTGCTTTATGAATGTCTGACAATCAAAATATACGTGAATAAACTGTACAATAAAGACGGCTAAGGTCAGCAAAAAATCTGGGATTTGTTGACAATTGAAATTTTGTGAAATTCCTAGTTTTAAACAAAATTTTGACTAGCCCGTCGTACTACTGTGATGAAATCTTTACTAGCCCTCCCTAATTTTTACTAGCCTCGGGCTAGCGGACTAGCGAAAGTGTTGAACCCTGCCTCCCATTTCGTACCCTTGCAAAAACCATTCCTACCCTGACCATTTCGTTACAAAAAATGAATAAATGTTTCTAATTTTCTATCCTGAAATACATATTTTTCAAATCATTACATAACTTTTGAATATTTTTGAGTAAAGGCAGTAATAATTACTCTACTTCAATGTATTTATATTTTATATAAACAATACTATGACAATACTTGTACATTAATTATATACGAGTATTGTTGACAATACTAGTATACAAGTATTGTGGTCGCCAAGTTCAGTTGATCCATAAAACCATTTGTGACGGGATTGCTTCCCTTAGTACGTATAGACTGTAGTAGATACTTAGTCAGCCTTGGCTTAGGCATTTGAACCAAGGAAGTACTTCTTTAGCTCAGTCTGTTGTTTGTGTAGAGTGCTGCCTTGTCACGCAGAGGTCCAGGGTTCAAGTCCCAGAGGAGAAAAAGTGATTTTACATGAAGAATCATGCTCTCTGGTTACACATTAAAGCATGTCTTCAAAATCCGCGCACTGACTCATGTTATTCTGGCCCAAGTTGTTTCTTCCCTAGCCTAGTATCCTAGACAATGATAATATAGTGTGAGTGGAGAATGAAGTCCTGACACCATTTGTTGTTAAAATTGTCTTTAACTTTTTCTCTGCTGTTACAACAACAGTATCGCTGCCCCCATGGACTGAAAAAGGATTACTGCAAATACATGTATCCCACAGTTAAAAATTTAAAGTTAATGATTTTGGATTGGTGTGAGACAAGTTGGCCGGGAGACAACTCAGACTGTCTACAAAAAAGACAACTCGGACCATCAATAAGTCAACTCGGATAGTCTATAAGTCAACTCAGGCCATCTATAATGCTAACTAAGACTAAGTATAGAATTAGAGTTTTGACGAAATAAATGATTTAATGTGTCTGAAGAGAAATCTTAATAAAGTTTTGAGTATATAAATGACAAAAATGACAACTAGGGCGTCTACAATTAAATGACACTCCCTAGATTTTTTTATTTCTGTTGTTTGAAAGCTGTATGGGTAAATAATGTTTGAAATGTTTTGGTAGATTCTTTTTAGAATAATTAAATTTACATTTTTGATTGTTGATTTCATTTAATTATTATTACGAAATAACAAGTTTATTAAGTTTGTTTAATAAATTGATGAAGATTTTATTCAAAATATACAATCACCATGATGAAGTAGAAATGAGAATCTACATTAAAGGATACTTTTATGTAAATTATAACATGTTATCATATAAATAGCACAAACTCTATGTTTATACCAAGGATCCGGAAATTTTTCCACACAATTTCGGTCATTTTGAGATGATTGAAAAGTTGGTGCCCCTTTCCATGTCAACTTGAGTCTTGACTAGATTCATAGCATCAACGAACTTGTATTGCTGTTTCATCGCATTTACTAAGTAAATGTCGTACCATTACCATGAAGAACAGTTTAGGGAAGGCAATAGTTTAAAATTGAAATGATTTTAATGACTCAAAATGGTAAATCTCTCAGACATTGCTTACGTTTCTTTCGATTTGACAAAAGTTAAAACCGGAAGTTTGCGATAAAGTTAAAGTACGAATAATTCCGGATTCATTTCCGGGATTTGTTTTGTTTATCAAATTGACAGGAAATCACCGGCTTTTTATGTTTTTTTTTTTATTTTATTACCTTTAAAAGTGTTTGAATGTAACAGACAATAGTTGCACTCGTTTAATTTAGCATGAAATCAATTTGCATTTTACGATTAAATATTAAATTTGCTGAAGACAATTTCACGCATGCGTATTATACAGTAGATAAAGCACATAAAAAAATACTTTTTTCTCCGTGAATTTAGGTTTAATTTTTAAATCAGATTTGATGATTGTCTTTGCTGAAAAGTAATTAAATAATGAATACACTTGTCAGGGAATTTCAATTTTTGTTAAGATATTATTCTGAGCTTGTGATCACTGTCAGGTGTGAATTAAAACCACAGGTAAAAAGTGATTAGCGATCATTAGCCAATGTTTCCCGGAGGCATTGATATAGATATTAGGAGGGCCCTCAGGATTATCAAACTACTGGAGTGGCAGTTTTATTACAGGAAAGGGATTATAAACAAAACAAGTGATCACAACTTACACAAGACAGTGCAAAATGGCGATTAAGAAATCCGATTTCAAACATTGAGTCAATGAAATGACCGAAATTACTTCTTTAAAAAATAAAATTTGTCCTAAATCCCAATTACTCGTTTAGGACAAATAGTTTCATCTTAGGACATGACTGGCATATATGACCGTTTCCGGACCCTTGGTTTATACATTGTTGGAGTTGGCATTATAGACGGTCCAAGTTGACTTTAAAATAATAAAGAATTCAACAAATAAGTAAAACAAATTCAACCTAGGTTTCCTTTTTTTTTTTTTGCTTCAAATATAAAGTTTTATAATAAATTGGTAAAGATAAGTAAAAATTTGAATTCACATTATACAAAAAAAAAAAATAATTATGTTTTGCAAATTTAACAACATGCAAATGATATTGTCAAGTAAAATATGACATTTAATAATTTATATAGCTCAAATCCTCCTTAAATACTTTGTCTGAGCTTTCATTATAGAAGGTCCTAGTTGACTTTTTAGACGGTCCGTATTGACTTATTGATGGTCCGAGTTGACTTATTAGTAGGACCGAGTCAAATCTTGTCTCCGGACAGAGTTGTCCCGCACTCTTTTGGATTTACTTGTATATTGATTTTACTATCAGTACTGAAAGGAGAAATTTGTCCTCGATTATTGACAGGATACATTTGCAATGAGTTGATCTTTGTAAATTAATTTAAATGAACTTATCATGTTACACATGTATATATATTTGTACTATAGACAATTTGAAGATGAGCTTAGAACGTACAGTGGAGAAGATCCCTTGGAAGTTTGGTATAGGTATGTAAAATTAATGCATTGAAATGTTAAAAAGGGAAACATAGATGTTTCTTTTTTATTGGCTAAATTATAATTAATGCATACATGCAGGGCTCAGGCTACAGCCGTACAGGGCAACTTGAAGCAGTCGCTTTCCCTTCCGTTACTTTACTTTTCCTTACCATCAAAAGCATTATCTGGTAGCCGGGGTGTTCACAACAGCCGCTTTTGTTATCGGAAACTTTCCATTTTTACCAAGATGATGAAACAGCAATTTTCATTATAAGTAAAGAAATTCAAAGACATCAACAATTTATTTCTTTAAAAATGGTGAAAGCAATGGCTTTACAGATTGGTTGTACTTTATTTCAATGAAACAACTTATAATGAAGTATTTTCTTTCACTTCCAGTACTTGTTACTCGAGAGCATACATCAAAAAATTCTGATTTGGCAAATAAAAATGTGCACTAGTTTAGTGAAAATGGACGTCACACTAAACTCCAAAACATATAAATGAACTAAAATTAAAAAACATACAAGACTAACAAAGGCCAGAAGCTCCTGACTTGGGACAGGCGCATAAATGCGGTGGGGTTAAACATGTTTTGTGAGATCAAGTATCAATCAAGTTATTAATTACACATCCTGCCCAACTGATGTTTCGGATACAAATATAATTCTTGGCTCTCCAATATCCACATAAAAAGCAACAGTAATAAAGTTGATTGATTGATTGTTGGTTGCTTAACGTCCAGTGGCAAATATTGTAAAAAAGTTGTAATGCCTTTGTAATGAATTTTACAGTATCCATGATAAATGTCAATAAAAAATGTTTTTGGTTCATTTTATATTAGAATGTTGATATGTGGGATTAATATTACAGGTTACATTAGATCCTAGATAACATGAGACCACAGCACTTAAAACTGAAATTCAATTTGTTTACAAAAAAGGAAAATAAGTTTTCGAAAAATAGATGATAGTTTAAAAAAAATATTTGTCAAAGAGGTGGCAATGAAAAATATTGACCCAGGGGAATCCTTGTTAATGAATAACATCGCTTTTTAGATATTTGGTCTGGACAGAACAGAATTGTGTTAAAGGTGGTAAAGAAAACAACCTTGAAAAATTATTAGAGAATTATCTGAAACAGTTTACAGAAGAGAAAAGATATCATAATGACCCTCGATATGTTTCAGCATGGATTCGATACGTAAGTTTATGTATAGTTTATTACCATGCATAGGACCTAATCCACATTTGTAATACTTGGGAGAAAGAGAAGAGTCTTCTTTTATTGGTTTTATTTTTATTTTTTGTTGTTTACAAATGGACAGACATTAATAGTGTTTCCTACAGGAGGTTTTGGCGTGGTATGGTGTCCTGCCGTGTTTTTCTTGACGCCCTGCCCTATTTAAGAAAAAAAATTGGCGCCATGCCTCCTTTCCGTTGTAATTTAATATCGGTTCTGCAATTAATCTTTTAGCAAAGCCATTACGAGTTATTTCCCTTGGAACGAAATAAAAAATTACAAATACGGTTCATGATTGAGTCTTATAGGGACAATATCGATCAGTACCTTTACGAATTTAAAAGGGATCGTTTGAGTTATAATTTTACGATGCATGGGACATGTGGGATGAACATTGATTACGTAAACAATCCAATGTTTGTTTATATTTTTTACTTATATTATTCAGTCGGTCAAGACGTTGAATTGGGTGTGAATTTATGACAGCTATATGTTGTTATCAAAGTTAAATTAAAGTTAAGAATATAGCTGATATAGTTTTGAATAGTACGAAAAATCAACAATGTTTCAATAAAAATAACAACAAAAAACACTGAATTAGATGGAGAAAAAAAGATCAATAGTATAAGACTATGTATAGTAAGTCTTGCTATACAAATCTTTGAATATCCTTAAACTATTTGTAGAGATAATTGTTATGAGCCAATGTAGCTTTGATTGTTATAAACATGTGAGATCCAAAAGGTATTTGGCATATCTTTTGTGCATTTAAAAGCAATGCATTGCATATGCTCTTGGTCATACAAAGTCCACTTTCAACACACATCCTTAGACAATCAGTCTCAGTGATGCAGTATTAAAGTTATGAATTATTGATTGAAATGAGGCAGTTGCACAATGAACATGCTAAAGATTCTATTAGCTGAGTCTAGAAGTGATAGTTTTATTACAAAAAGGAATTAAATTAACAACCTAATATACATATCTTTATTTCTTACCAATAAGTATGAAACAAAGGTATATTTCCATTTAATCCCTATCCATAACAGTGCCTTTATATCTATGTAGGTGCCCTAAAAGTGTAGTCCTCCGTGCAAAGGTTGCCCTTAAAGTGTAGCCAATCACGCTAAGAGTGCCCTCTGAGAAAAAAATTACCCTGCCCTTTTCAAAAGCTGCAGGAAACACTACATTAAATTCACTGCTACTATGTATAATCACCTAAGGTAAGACCACCCCCTGAAGACGATAATTTGTTCCAAGAAAGATAACACAAATATCATTTTTCCCTGTGCTGAAAGACCTACTCAAGATCTGTCTCCATCTTCCTGAGTTGTTTAAAGGGTAATAGGTTTAGGAGGTCTTTTGAGTTATGGTGCAAAGCTAAAGCTTTATTGTTATATTTTTATTTGTATATAAATGAAATGCTGAAAAAGAAATTGAAAGTACACATTAAAGATGTTTTTCCTGGTCATTATGCCCATGCAATAACTTCCTTAGTCCTGCATGTATCATACTATACAGTTACCCCAAAAAAGGTCGGGTTTTCATATTACACAAAAGTGACTAAAGCCTTCAAAACCCTGATTGATCAAAGGTATTAGCTTTTATCCTAAATGCATCCACATAATCGACCACATGAAGATAAAAAACACAAGGAGGTATTATATGGCAAGATCAATTCAGGTCTTTAGAAATTGGACACAATCTACATTGACTTATTTTTTGTGTGCAGTAAAAACTTAGAATAAGATGCAGACTGTGGTAATAGTTTCTAGACATCAATAACTTTTTCTGTATTTGACTCAATAAATGGACTTAGTTGAGTTTCTGTTTTTGCAGTCAATATTTAGGTAATCTGTGGTGAAAGATTTTAGAACTTGAAAAACTTTGTCAAACCTTGAAGGAACACTGACAGAAGGCACTTCTTAAATATTGTTCTGTATATTACTGATAAAAGGACTAAGTTTTTTGGTTGTAAACATTACACTTTAACATTGACAGCAGCAGTCACATGTACTTTATAGACCTTTCAAAATTACAAATGATCAGTAAAACTGTTTTTTTTTTTTTTCAGCATTTTATACAATTTTAAACATTTATTTTTTTTCTCCCCTGTGATAAAATCATATACATGTACATCATTCATTTGTCATTCTTGCAGGCAAATATGTGTAAAGATCCTTCAGACATATTTAATTATATGTTTGATCAGAAGATTGGAAATGAACTTAGCTGTTTCTATGAATCATGGGCTTGGATTCTGGAACAGATGGGAAATACAAAGAAAGCCAATCTAATATACCAAGAGGGAATTAAAAGAAGAGCAGAACCTTTGGACCTTCTTGAAAGAAAATATAAGTGAGACTTCAAGAATTTTTGTAATTATGATTATATGAGATTTATTTAGAAAAACATTCCTCTGAACTTCAGCTATAGATTGATTTACTGTACTTTTGAGAAAAAGTTGCTTTTACAAATCTGTCTCAATAAAATATTTGAGGATATACAGAACATTTTTATACATTAACACTCCCTTTGAAGTATGGCAAAAATATTACAACATCTCATAAAACTTCACAGTATGTTGCTGCGGCGGAAGGTGGTATCTGTGATCACTAGATCACCTCTTTAGTAAAATCTGAAGTTAAATTTGAGTGAGCAGTTTGTGGTTGGCAGGTAGAAATATCAGAATATATCAAGCTATTGTAAAGGTGTGACATTTGTAGAGACAAATATACATATTAAAAAGGTATTGAATTGTTGTCTTATCATATTTTGTAGTTTTTCTCAGTCATTTTATTGTGATTTAAAAAATATTAAACATGTGTATGAGAATATATATGAAAAATATAATAATTTAATTTCTTTTCAGCAACTTTCAAATGAGGGTAGCAAGAGGCCTAGCCGGTAAAATAATGGATGATGCACCAGAAGAATCAGTTGAAAAAAGGGCAGCACTTGGGCAGCTCAAAACAATGAGTAGAAAAGTTCCAATCAATAGAGCAGATGCCACAGCACTAAGTAAGTAATACAGGTAGAGCTCTCGAAAAGTGGTGGTCTGAAGGTCTTAACCACTTAAATTTTGCAAACGGCCGAAACAATTTTTATAATTTGTAATAGAAATAATAGTGAGGACCACAGCAGATTTTACAGCTATTTTAATGTTTTCTTTAATGCTCTATAGAACCCAGAGGCCTTGGTCTGCAGTCGGTGAAACCAGCACAGGTTGGACAGTCATTTCAAATATTTAATGATGAGAATCAAGACCCATCATTGCCAGGGCAACAAGGGGACTGGTCTGATGTTCCTACTAAAGCTGCTGTTAATAAAGAAAATGAAAGAAAAGCGGGAGTATGGACCAAAGCTAAGGTGAGATGAGAAGGACAATTGCATGTTAGTTAAAAAAAACGTGTAGGAGGAGAATAGTGATGAAGTGAAGATAAATGTGGTTTAATGCTGTATATAGACCAACTTAAATATGAATTGTAGCCATAGTTAGAAATGAGAAGTGGCTGCTGAAGCCATTTAATGTAGATTTTGTTGTTAGTTTAAAATAAATTAAAATGACCATTAGATAGGAGTGAAGTAACATTTCTTAATTGTTATCTGGGAGTATGTCAGCTTTTTAATCCCCTCACCCTCCATATCTGAGTACACTATTTATAAAGTTGTTTTATGAATATATGAACAAGTTTTGGACTTTCCTTTCAAACATTTCACTATCTGCATTGTAGATACCATGTAAGACAGTGGCACCTCCACCAACACCATCCTTTACACCGTTTATTGATGAGAATGCTGATCAACCAATGGCGTAAGTAATTCTTACTTACCTAATGTTTCCACAAGAAACATAGAGAGGTAAAATGTATTGATTCATCTATAAAGATAATAACTGGGACACATTTTCTAAATTTTGTTTATTGTTTTCGATGCTATGTCAGTATTAGAATTCCCACTATAATTAAATCACAAAACACCAGAAATATGAAGGTACATTTTTTTTATAAATACCATATTAAAGTTTTTTTGTAGTCAGAAGAAAAAGGTAATCTTGTTCAGTGTTCTCCCCAGGCCATTAAAGGACAGCGGTCCCGCGATGTATAATTTTTTACCGCAGTGGTATCGTTCTCACCGCGATGTATAATTTTTCTCCGTGGTGCTAAAATTTTCAGTTAAAAAATCGTAAATCGGTAAAGTGTTAAACGACTTGTTAAATCTTTTCCGTGAGGTATAAAATTCCAGGTGAAATTTGACCAGTTCAAACCAGTTCAACACGGATTGTTTACACCACGTGATGATTTACCTTTATGAGGTTAACCTTTGTTGATTGGATTTAATCGATGTAATCAACACTTTTTACATGATTCTTTTGTGTTTAATTTCAGAGGTCATAACTTTATGATCAAAGATAACTATCAATTATCACTCACCACCTGACAAGTCGGCAAATACTTTGTACACAAACCGTGTTGACCCGATAGTTGTACACACGACGGTACATATTTTGTACTTTATAAAGTTAGCTCAATACTTATATTATAGTTTTATATGTCTCTGATTAAACCATGGCCAAAATTATCTTTAATTATGACATAGTTATTGCATGATATTCCGGTTTCAAAACTGTCAACAAGTAATTCAAAGGGGAAGGATCACATGACCCAGTTAGTTCATGTAAAATATTCAAGATTATTTACAATTAACTGCAATCTATTCTATTTTATAAATAAAATGCATGACTGTACCTTCAAACTGGATATCTATATCCATATGATCATTAATGAATAACAGAAGTGATCCTGCAATTTTAATCCATAAGCACATGTTAAATCTATTTATATCTACTTCCTGTCATTTAGGCGGGAAAATAGGGAGACTTTGTTGTTGACATTGAATATGTTACTTATAGATCTGTAGACCTAAGATAAATTTATAGATTTAGGAATTCTTTTTAAATGGATCATGACAAATAAAGATTTAGATTTCAGTGCAGTATTAAGTCTGTATCTATGTTTGATTATCACCAAAGACAAGAAAGGTTAATATTTACATGTACATGAAATCTATGGCAAAATGTTTTAAAATTTATGAAAAATTTCTTTTTATTAAAATTTAAGATAGAAACTGGTTCAAATTATAACACAATTTTGTTCTTGTTAATTTTATATCTCCTTATGACAGGAATCCTTTCACATACAACAACTTTCTTTTTAGAAACTAGAAAGTTTTTTTAAATTGAACATTTTTGTTCTCTTTTGAATCTGGGAACAGTATATCTAACAATATATATGTTCCTGTTTGAATGATATTTTATTTTTATTGATCATGGATAAAAGATTTAATTACTTTAAATTTAGATGAATATTATGTAATGAATCATGTTTTATTTATTTTTAAAAAATAATAAAAAGAATACAAACTGTTTATTGATCTTTTTAACCAATAATATTCTGGCATAACACAGTACCACAGTATTAAAACAAAACAAGAGACATAAAAACTGCAGCAGCTAGAAATATAGCGACGCCACGCGACACAACTGATTGTATGAATCATTTCACCAAGCTGTTCACACAAGTTACCCTGGTGCTATCCAAAAATCCTGGGGAGAACACTGTTGTTGAAGACCATGCCACTTGATATTATACCATGTATTGATTTTTTTTTGTATTTTTTTCGTTTGTAATAATTTAATCAACAATATGAGAGAAATTTTTTCATCAAATTGATATTATTTACTATTTCCAGGACACCAAGGAAGTTACCTGAAGTTGGAAATCAGGTTTTAAGGTAAGAAGGGATTCTATTCTGCAAAAGTTTAAATATCAAACCAATCTTACTATGTCATGTTTATGTTTTGTAAGGAACACAGAAAATTGACATTTTGATCTGTTTATTGAAAAGTGTTCCCTGAGCCAATGCTTGAGTTTGCAGATGCAATCCCAGGATGTAGGGAATTCATTTAATTTGAATTTTGTGCAACTTTGAAAGAAACTACTGATGATTAATTAATTGATGGGTGTTTGCTTTACTCTGGACTACTGATGAATGGCTACCCGTATCCAGTATTGTGTTGAATAAGCATCTTTCATTCTATGTCAGATTCATATTCAAATCTTATGATATAAATTATTATTCATTTACTTAAACATCCTTACAACTCAGTATCGTGCAGTCTTGAGATACTGTTGAAAGAATTTTTGAAATTTGTAAAAAGTTTGAATGTCAGCTATATACTTCTACTGGAATATAAATAATCAATGAAAATATGATATTTGAATTTTATATATTTCAGTGCTCGTAAACCTCTAAAACATACTGACAACTTACACAATTTAAGACATGAAACAAATGATCCTAACCAACAACCTATGTATGCTAAAGATAAGGTGTATTGTGGAGCTGAAGAGTATTCATTTGAAGAAATTAGAGCAGCTAAATGGTTTTCCAAAAAGAAAAAAGAAGAAGACAAAAGAAGATTAGAGGAAGAACAACAATTGATTGATGGTTAAGATATTTTAATTCCTTCAATATTTACTCCATATTATGTTTTTGTAAATGATTATATCAAAAGTTATATACTTCATTACTAAATATGATTGACTTCTTTTCAATCTAAAATTAGGAATGTTTTGAATTAGTTGAATCTCATACATATTATAAGTGTATTGTTGAAGATATTTTTCTACCGAAATTTAGATTGCCAAAAAGATATATACCAAATTTTGAAAATATGTTTAGACTGAAATTCCAAAATAAATAAATGGTGATTAAAAAAAGAAAATATCTCACTGAAATAACCTTAATTATTACTGTACAATCAATCATTTGTTGTCATTTGCCATTACCGTAATCGGGCTTGTATAGTTCGCACTAGTACATAGTCCGCACCCCCTTCTCCCCACGAAATTTTTGGTAAAAAAACTTTTTGTAACTGTTAGAAAAGGTCTAATGAAACTCCGGTTATTTCAAATCGTGTGTGGTCGTATGCGGTATTTTCTTGGAAAAACCTATTTTCCATCAACAAACAGAAGCTGAAACTGCTTATAAATGATTCTAAAAGCCTTCACGATTGTTAAAATAAGTCTTAATCACACAAAAAACAATTTAGAAACTTGTTTATGTTTAAACCGGAAGTTTGAAAAGCACATGTAAAAGAAGAGAAAAAACAGTGAGAGTCGAAATCCGTACATACTAGATATCAATATAATACGACTTTGAAAGTAAAACAGTTCCATCCTGATGTAAAATAGTGTTAAATATATCTATCACATTAATGTTTGAAGGGTTTTAAGCTAATAAATAACATATTAGTCACTATGAAACACCAAAACGGAACGTATAATAACCGATTACGTTTTGTAATTTACACATCGTAAGCTGGTTTACGGTTGTCTTTTTACTTTTTATGTACAGTTTCATCAGGTAGACACCAGTTTATTTTATAAGCAATGCATTGAAAAGAAACGAGAAATTTGTTATGAAGTGTTTAATTTTTAAATTTATCAATATTAATTTGATATTGATTAATAATAACTTATTAATATGGATTAGGTAAAATTATTAGTTTAAAAAATGATAAGAGCGCCCTCTACAATATCAATAACAAACATGGCGGAACGAAAATAAACCACCTCGCGAAATTGAATTATTTCTCTTATTTCTTGCTTATTGTACTCTATAGTCCGCACCCCTGCTAGCAGGTTCAATTTTGGAGAATAAAACCGCGGACTATACAAACCTTTTAACGGTAAATATTGTCATAACTCAATATTTTTGTATCCTTACAGAACAGAGGGAGCAGTTAAGACGTAACCAACTGATGCTACAACAGGAGGCAGAACAGTTTAGAATGCGTCAGCAAACGTTACAACAGGAACATCAGGCTATCCTAGAGCAATGTAAATCAGAAATACAAAGACAACAGGAGGAATTCAAAAGAGAAAGGTATTCCATTCCTTCTTCACTGAAGAGTTTGACTGCATTAATTGGTTAAGTTTAAGTTGTCCAGTCTCTGATACTTTAAGCAATAGGTCAACTATATTTGCCAATATTTGGTGTATGAAATGATTGTAAGGTGTACATGTCCGTCTCAGTAAGCAGACAGAAAGTCACAAATTTGATAGGACAAAAGTCACAGGACAAAAACTCACAAATCATTTGTTTATAATTGTTTGAATATATAAGAGAAAGTTCTTAAAATAATTTCTTATTATTATACATATTCATTTTACAGTTTAGGAAAAGAGAAAGTTCTTAAAATAATTTCTTATTATTATACATATTCATTTTACAGTTTAGGAAATTGTTCATAAGCCTTGATAATTGAAGATTTATCAAATTTTAATCATGCAAAGTATATATTTCTTTGCACCATGAAACCATTTAAAGGTACCAAGCCACTTTGATCTTTATTGGTTTTTTTTAGAATACATTTTGCTTAAAAAGTTGCTTTATATATAATAATAGTTCAAGAAAAATACAAAAATATTTTTAAAAATAAGTGTTTTCTTATTCAAAGAAAAATAATCTCAAAACTGAATTGTAACTTTATGTCCTGTGACTTTCTGTCCTACATTTGTCCGTTGAATAGGGTTTAACTGACCTTGAACTAATTTTCATGGTTTATCATCATGTTAAGGTTTTGTGGTTATATCCATTTCTCAAATGCTGTAAGCAACAGGCCAACTATTACCTTGAGCACATTAAAAATTTAGCTGACAATATTGACCTAATACCAAGCTGGATCCATATTAATTAACCAAACTCTAGAGTGGATGCTAAATTGTTGTCACCCTTTTCTCTGAAACTGCTGAACAGAATGACTGCATATTTTGTCAGCAGCTTTATAAACCATGATGAGTTGTAAAGTGCAAGCACTTTTTGGATCTGTCAAAATATATACCTACTTTTACCTACTCGAGCAGATACTTTTAAATTTTTAATGTTGAGTAAACTTAATTTTGTCACATATTTATCCAGTACTACTGAACCAAATGACTTGATATTTGGTCAGAGCTCAGCAGTGATAAATTGTAATGCGTGTGCTTTTTTGTCTCCCCTGCGACAAAAGTCGAGGAAAGTGAGACATGGGGGTTGCTTTTCTGGCGATGGCTGGGGCGACAGGGTCAACAATTGTAAAGTTTTCTGCTTAAGTTAGTTTGATAGGAAATACTTGTGATAGATCATTGATATTTAATATAAAGTTGCATTACTATCAGCACATATCAGTTTGATGACTATTTCGAGGCCCTGCCCCCAAGGTCATGGTCCAGCAACTGAATTAATTAGCAATTTTCAATGTTAAGTTTTCTGCTTAAGTTAGTTTGATAGGATGTACTTGTGATAGATCAATGATATTTTGTATGAAGTTGCATTACTATCAGTTCATATCAGTTTGACGATTATTTTGAGGCCCTGCCCCCTAGTACCACTTGGTCCAGTGACTGAATTAATTTGCAATTTTCAATGTTAAGTTTTCTGCTTAAGTTAGTTTGATAGGATGTACTTGTGATAGATCAATGATATTTTATATGAAATTGCATTACTATCAGTTCATAGCAGTTTGAGGACTATTTTGAAGCCCTACCCACTAGATAATGGTCCAGCGACTGGATTATTAAACCATGTTGCTGTTCATCAGATTGTCTTTTTCTGAATTTAATGCAGACAGGCAAGACATATCTTTGTGTACACTGTGTATTTTTATCTGTCAGACACCTACTTCCTGGTTACTGATACTTTGAATTACAAGTGGGATATGCTTAGCATGACCATATGTGCATTTTTGTTGAAACAGAGTTCAAAAAGTAACATTAGACCTAACAGATGCATGTTCTCATCCTAAATATTGTTTAAAGAAGGTCTGTCATCCATCTATCCTACATTTTCCTCAGTCAGAGTTATCTTAGGCAGTTTTGGCTGATCTGTTGAGGCACTTTTGGGTTTTGTACTCTTAACATTACATGTTTTTGACTTTTTTAACTTTTGGTCTTGAGCATACCTGATAAAAGTTTCTTCATGAACATACGTATTGCACACACAAAGCATATTATCCAAAATTTAGTACCACTTGATTGGTACCACTGCTGTTTGACTATCAGTCCCCATGGGTACCAAGAAATCATATTATATATATTTAGTACCACTAGAAAGGTACCGCTGCTGATAGACTATTAGCGCCCAAAGGGTACCATTTGGTCAGGAGATAGTACCTAAAATATGTTTGGATGTGCTCTTTAATGTTTTTCATTTTGGCATTACAGATTTTGGTCCTGAATTTAACTGATGAAGGTAACCCCAGAAACATGACTCATGTTCACAGAAATATATCATGCATTTTTGTCGAGCCTGCGACTTTTGTCGCAGAAAGCTCGACATAGGGATAGCGATCCGGCGGGGGCGGCGGCGGCGTTAGCTAACTTCTTAAAAGCTTTATATTTTAGAAGGTGGAAGGTCTGGATGCTTCATACTTTGTATATGGATGCCTCATGTTACGAAGTTTCCGTCAGTCACATGTCCAATGTCCTTGACCTCATTTTCATGGTTCAGTGACTACTTGAAAAAAAAGTTAAGATTTTTTGTAATGTTAGATTCTCTCTTATTATAGGTAATAAGATAACTATATTTGGTATGTGCGTACCTTGCAAGGTCCCCATGCCCGTCAGACAGTTTTCACTTGACCTCGACCTCATTTCATGGATCAGTGAACAAGGTTAAGTTTTGGTGGTCAAGTCCATATCTCAGATACTATAAGCAATAGGTCTAGTATATTCGGTGTATGGAAGGACTGTAAGGTGTACATGTCCAACTGGCAGGTGTCATTTGACCTTGACCTCATTTTCATGGTTCAGTGGTTATAGTTAAGTTTTTGTGTCTTGGTCTGTTTTTCTTATACTGTATGCCATAGGTCTACTATATTTGGTGTATGGAATGATTGTAAGGTGTACATGTCTAGCGGGCAGGTGTCATTTGACCTTGACCTCATTTTCATGGTTCAGTGGTCAAAGTTAAGTTTTTGAGTTTTGGTCTTTTTTTCTAATACTATGTGCAATAGTTCAACTATATTTGGTATGTGCGTACCTTGCAAGGTCCTCATGCCCGTCAGACAGTTTTCACTTGACCTCGACCTCATTTCATGGATCAATGAACAAGGTTAAGTTTTGGTGGTCAAGTCCATATCTCAGATACTATAAGCAATAGGTCTAGTATATTCGGTGTATGGAAGGACTGTAAGGTGTACATGTCCAACTGGCAGGTGTCATCTGACCTTGGCCTCATTTTCATGGTTCAGTGGTTATAGTTAAGTTTTTGTGTTTTGGTCTGTATTTCTTATACTGTATGCCATAGTTCTACTATATTTGGTGTATGGAATGATTGTAAGGTGTACATGTCTAGCGGGCAGGTGTCATCTGACCTTGACCTCATTTTCATGGTTCAGTGGTCAAAGTTAAGTTTTTTGAGTTTTGGTCTTTTTTCTAATACTATATGCAATAGTTCAACTATATTTGGTGTATGGAAATATTTTATGATCTATTTGGCAGTCACACAGGTTTTATTTAACCTTGACCTCATTTTCAAGGTTCATTGCTCAGTGTTAAGTTTTTGTGTTTTGGTCTGTTTTTCTTAAACTATAAGCAATAGGTCAACTATATTTGTTGTATGGAAGAATTGTTAGCTGTACATGCCTGCCTAGCATGGTTCATCTGACCTTGACCTCATTTTCATGGTTCATTGGTCAATGTTAAGGTTACTTGGTTAATGTTAAGTTTATGTGACAGTTGTAATAAAGCTTTATATTTAGGACTATCAACATAATATCAATGATTAGTAAAGAAGGCGAGACATTTCAGCGTGTGCACTCTTGTTCTGTATAAATTTAGATATTTATGAATTATATATTATTAGATTCTAATTTTCCAATTCATAATTAACATTTTCTTCATCATTTTTATTTATGATACTATTTTATTACTAAAAAGATAATCAGTGTAAAATTTCAAATGGTATAATTTAGAGAAATGATGATGCAAAGACAGAAGGAAATACTTGAAAAAGAAATAGAAGACAGAATGAATGCCGGTTTGGCAGCAGCTGGTGGTAGTGGAAATAGGTTTGTTTTATTTATTTCTACTGATTTAGATATCCAAATTATACTGAATTAAACGTCTTTATGGGGAATAACGTTCATGTCTGGGCTTCATGTGATATTATAGAATAGGTACAATTGGAACTTTTATTTGATTTATATAACTGCCAACAATGTATGAAAATATAGTACCATTAAGATAAATGATTCTATATTATAATGAAATTGAAAACACAGCACTGTTTATGTGTAAACATATAAATAGATATAAATTTTGGTGTTCTTACAGGGAGAAAAGCAGCTCAAAACAGTTAAACTTTGTCGAAATGAATGAATCTTCATCAAGACCAACACAGAACAGCATATTACAGACACAGAGTCCCCTTGATACATTGTCCAAGATGCCATTAAATTGTCTGAGTGATATGACTGACACTAAAGTTTCTCCTTCTGTCTCTCATGGTAATCGGGAGAACGCTTTAGAAAGGCCATCTCAACAGTGTACAGTACCAAGTATTTCATTACAGACGGAAAAACCTACCTTACCTCAGGTTTTCCAGCCAAGAAGTAATCAAGATTATTCTTCAGTGAAACCTGTCGAGGAGGTCCATCCAGCACAGGGTCATCTTAGCTTGTCAGAGGTTCAAAATAACAGTTACAGAACACCTATAAACAAATCACTGGCTATGAGTACTGCAGGAGGTAGAAATAGTGGTGGCAGACAGGTATATACACTTGACCTCTCATGATCAGTATTGGTTCCTGTCCAATTTTTTAGCGCTTGTATGTATTGTTATTTTGAATCTTCAATTCTTCCTTTTGAAACATGCTAAGGTCACTGAGAGACTGTAGTCATCTGTTGTCTTTTCATATGTTTAAAATTATTATGCCTCTCCTTTGATGAAAGGCGACATATTTAAGTGGTATTTCTTCTTCTTCTCATAAAACCTTGCAAGTGAATGATTTGACCTCATTAAATCCATATTCATGTGAACTTCAATTGAACCCCTTAGTTAGAGATGGGTTACGCATGAACTAGGCGTGTTCAGCTATTAATAAGAAAAGAATGTCAACATTGGAAGTGAAACACGGGTAAACCATTTGGTTGACTGATTCGGTCTACAAAAATTCATTCTTATACAGGTAAAGACGATTATTAACATATTTTTTTAACCTATAATATGAAATCAAACAGACCTAGAAAAATCCAATTGCACATGGTCACGATCTATTTATATCTATGTTTATGTTTATATCCGGTTATATGGCCATCGGCAGTCTTCAGAGGTCATCTCGTTGGTTAATTAGATGGCTTCTAGACTAAAACACACAAAATGTGGATACATACTATTGAGTCTATGCATTATAAATTGTTTATTTTAGACTTTTTATAATTTTGATATCCGTTTTAGTATGTTATAAGTCGATTATGAAAATTTGAGTCAAATCGGTGAACATGAATTTGACAGCTAATGCCCCTTTAAATTCAAAAATTAAGGCAAAAAGGTACAAAATTAACAGATTTTCTGGCATGTATCCTGGTTTATTGGAATTATTTAAAGATTTGTAAATGTTATGTTTTAAAACAATTTTTACTATATTTTAGAGTTTATCTGAACCTTCCCCTACAGTAAACACAAAAGAAGCCATGCAGTTAGTGATGGGAATGTTTAATGCATCACTAGCAATCGATGCTAATCTTGGATGGGAAGATGATGATGACAATATGGTCACAGCACCTCCAGGTAAAATTAACATTGAGATGTAGAGTTGAAATATAAGAAGTTTGGGATATGTTAATGAGGATAACTTCTGTTGGAATGAAAATGGAAAAACATATATTAACTTAATTTTCAGTATAAAGAATATTTAAATTGTTAAAGTTTCAAAATGGTGGTCAAATTTTTATATTTTATTTATTTATAAATCAAACAGTTGCTAATAACTTTATGTTGGACAAATAAGATTTCACAGAGTAAGAAAACTGTAAAAAAAAACCTGTTTAATTATGAAAAGAAATTTACTTGAAGAATATTTGCTTTCCAAAGTTGTTTATAACATTTTTATGCCCCACAACTGAAAGTTGGGGGGCATATTGCTTTACCCCTGTCCGTCCTTCCGTCTGCCCGTCTGTCCCATTATGGGTATATAGATATTCCAGATAACCTCTCCTACAGTTTGAATGCGAGGAAGTTTTCACTTTGCTGGCTGTTTGTACATACATTGAAGGTGTGCATGTGGTCAGGGTTTTGATTTTTATTAATATATGCTCTTTTGGGAGATAGTTGAACTTTGTCATTTTTGGAGTATATACTTGCATAAGAAGTGCATAGCATTTCCAGATAACTCCTCCTACAGTGAACCATAGATCTATGTTCTCCCATGCTCAACTTTGTGTATTTTAGAATAACACTTTGCATCTGCAGGGGCATCATTTGTGTCTCCCAGACACAATGATATCTCAAAGAAAGTCCTACATTGACTTTGTTATAATATAGTTACTTCAGATGTGGGGGCATCACTTTGTCTAGTTTTCAAATAGAATTTAGGGACTTAGAATAATCGCTTGGTTTATATGGGCCAGATATTTAACGTCGATGATTAAAAAACCAAACAACACATTACTTCTCAAAATGAATAGGTACTTGTCAGTGTCTTAAAAAGATGAACATTTATTGTATGTATTGTATGCTCTGAATGGCTTTGTGAAAAAGCATTTACAAATCAAAAATAGTTATAAATCCCATGAAAAGACAACAATGACAACAACCACTTACATTTGTCTTCCCTAGGTAACCTGGATAATTGAATGGAAATTTGTGGTTTTCTCATGTCCACTTTGTTTTTTTTCTTTCTGAATAGTTTGGGTTTTTTTATTCATATTTTATTTGAAAACTTGTATTTACTGTTTTTTGGTAATCTTGAAATATTCTATTTCAATTTCATTGATAGTATCACAGCCTCCAGTTTCCAATGCTCCATTTACAATATTTACTGATGACCAAATGGATACTGGTGAGAGGAATGAAAATGCTGTAAACAGGTAATCATAGTGTAATAAAGATTTTGTTAAAACCAATTTTCAGATTAAAAAATGACATAAAACGTTCAGATATACTCCTATGCCTACACATGACCTTTATTTGAATAGTAAAAATATTGTGCTAGGCGGATCGTATATCAAGTTTGCAAAATATCTCTTAGTTTCATTGATATGAAACAACAATTTCAAAACATAAGGAGTTGATATTTTGGTCTTTAGGTAGCTTTGGAAAAGGTTGTGATTTAATCAAAGCAATTCTCTCTAAACTTGAGATTGATATAATATATTTTATACACAGGAAATATTAGATAATAATGTATCATTAATGTTCTTTAGGATTGATTTATTTTTGGAAAAAAAGGTATCTTTGAGATACCATTAAAAGTTCAAAAAGATTGGTTATCATTTATTAAATGTGCTGACTGCAGTAGGTAATACAACTCATGCCACAGCCCTTACAATAACACATATTGTCTATGTTGTCATGCTGTGTATGATTGGGAATGTCAGGATATGGTAGAATAATATCAAATTAAAACACCATCTAATATTCACATGTCAGTCTGTAATGATAAATAATACAGTGAGGCTTAAAGATTGAAATATGTTCTTTCCTTTATTTTATGTTATTACTTTTAAACCGAAAGTATACATTTATACTTTGCCTTAATCAAACTTAATATTGGTACTCTGTTATATGATTGCAATGTTCCAAGATAGTTGGATACATCTTGTTTGGTCTTGATATCAAGACTAGCAATGTTTTATTTAACCATAATCAATTGAGGCGGTGAGACATTTCATCATGTAGCCATTGAGTTTATAGGGAAGTTATTATATTATGAGTAAATAATGTTTTTGTATGCAGGTTATCAAATAAATCAACAGACTTTATTGGTCAAAGGAAGAAGGGTTTAAACCGAGGTGGACTTCAGTCTGTTAGTAAAGACAACTTTGAGGTATTTAGTATAATGATTATAAAGATAATTTTCAATTATTTTTAAAGTAATATTGTCAGTAATGCACATTTTACGTTCTACATGCTATAAAGTCAAGTCAGTATTTGAGATTTTCAGTTTTCCTTTGTGTAATCTATATAAATCTCACAATGTCACAATCTAGTGAAATTCAGGTAGGATAACTTTGATAACTTGCTTTGGAAATATTTTTTATTCTTTGGAACATCTTTTCAGTAAATTGAGGAAATACTACATGTAGTTAGTGTTGTCCTTGTCCTTCAACACATAATTTTTACTAAATATGTACTAACCAACTGTTAACCTTTTTATGTATTTTTCTAAGATAATCAGTAAGTGCAGTAAGAGAGTGTATTTATCTTAAATGTTAATAACCATGTATAGTTATTTTCAAATGTGTGCCATGTGTGATATCAGGAAAAAATAGATTGAAATAAAGTTGTAAAATGATTTTATAAATAGTATAATTTTTATTTTTGTTTATTTATAAAACCTTTCTATTGATTTTTCCCAGACAATGGAGTATGAAGGTAAGATGGAAGCAATTGAGTCCCAGGCCAGGGATGATATAACCATATGTCCAATTGGTACAAACCAAAGCTTTGCTGCTGCAGCTAGGGTAGCATCTACACCATTCAACAGAGATAAACCATTAGATTCTCTCAGTGATGTTTCTCGTATCTCTAGTCATTCTGATGCTAAAAGTTCTTTACAGATTTACACAGACAGTCATCTTCATACATCAAAGGAGGAAATCAAGGATCTTAGGTAAAATAATATCAGGTGACAGTCATAGGAAAATTATACTGTACTATAAGAAAGTGCTGCTTGTAAAGAAGTTGGATAAAGAAATGTTATATTTATTACCCAGGAATTTGTTTCCAAATTGACAAATTTAAGATATAAAGATTTCAAGTAAAAAAAACACTTGTAATAAAATTAATGTTTCCAAGGGGCATAACTCTTTTAAAAATAATTGATCGGCACTGATTTTCGAACTCGTCCAAGACATTACTAATATAAACCTATGATATAAGTTTCATAAAAATCTGGCAAGAATTGTACACATGAGAGCGCTTACGATGCAATTTGCCATATAATTAATGTTTCCAAGGGGCGTAACTCTTAAAAATAATTGATCGGCACTGATTTTCGAACAACACCTGAGACATAGCTGATATAAACCCATGACATAAGTTTCTTAAAAATCTTATTAATCACTTTAAACATTTATTATTGATTTACTAGAAAATGATTTTTGTTTTCTAGCCCTATCATGGAAGGCAGTAATGAAGAATCATCGGGAAATCATGGACAGTCTACTGTTAATAGTGTTTTCAAATCTCACAATTCACATGTTGCCATGGAAACAGACTTTTGTGACATACCAAAATTTGAAGACTTAAACCAGTCAACACATGTGATAGATATTACAAAATATACTCCATCACCTTCAGTTCACCTGCAAACTAAACCTAGGAATCCATTTGATGAAAATGACATTGATAAATTTTTGCACACATTATCACCACCTTTGGAATCAACGTCTAATTATTATGAAAGGGATGAACTCTTACCAGAAATCAGAGTTGCTAATATGATTGATTTAGGTAAGGTTTTGAGTTTTATTTAACCTCAACAAAGCCATTCCTCTCATTTTTCATTTCAAAAATTAAGTGTCTCTATTGCATAAATATTGCTATCATCAGGGTACTTTGTGGAATCTCTTCTTCATGTTTGATAAAAGATTTATGAATTTATGGATACCTAGTTTCTTTTATTTGTTGTATTTTATCTAAAACAGACAATTGCAGTTAGTAGAATTATGCATTAATATCTCAACGATAGTAGTGAATTGAATTTTTTTGTAAACTAAAAGAAGATAATTAAATACTTTATATCCCCAACAGGGCAGGATACATTTATTGCTGAAGAACTGGTTGGGAAAGGTGGCTATGCTAAAGTATACAAGGTCTCAAGTTATGATTATCTTAATGAAGATGGTGAGGACAGTGTAGAAACATTGGCTTTAAAGGTAATAATGTATATACTTTTAGAAAGTTATTTTGTCATGCCTTTTTTTTTTTTTATCTGTATTGAGTTAGTACCTTGTAGTCATACCAAAAAATGTACATGGCCATTTGCATTGGGTGTTTACTGCATTGGAAACCCTCAAAATTTAATAATTTTTTCAATATTTTTTATATTCTATACACATGCGAATGTCCATTTTCCAATATTACATTAACAGGACCAGGAATTATTTACAACTCAATAACAAACTGAAGACTTGACAACAGATAAAATATTTCACTGTTTATATCCTGTTACGAAGTATTGGAGAATATAGTTTAATATGTTCATCTGTCAGTCATCTTTTTTTCCCAATGATAAATCAAATACTACATGTTGAATTGCATATGTTCACATATATTCAGAGGAAAATATTTAGGTCACTATGTCTAAGGTCAAGTTCATACAGTATGAAAATAAACCTAAATCAGTGCAAGAATGGAGTCTTGGGATTATGACTCTAGAACCTTGCATGAAATTGGAACCAAACTTCAATATATAGTCACATTTAATGAGTGGAAGATTCCTGTTCATTTGAGATTACTGTGTCCAAGGTCAATGTCATAGCAACTTAAAATGGGCTGAAATAAGTACAAAAAAGGTTTTCAGGGTTATCTCTAGAATGATACAATGGATTGCAAGGAACCATGCATAAATGGTCATATATTATGAGAGGAGAATCTTTATTGATTTTGAGATCATTACTTCTAAGGTCAAGGTCAAGTTATAAAAACAGATTATGATGTATCCAGACAGTAATCCCAGAACCTTTCATGGGATTGGAACCAAAGTTGCATATATGGTCACATATGTTAAATGCAAGATCACTATTTGTTCAGAGGTCAATACGTCAAGGTTATAGTTCTTTAAAATAAACTAATAAGTGCAGAATTGAGGTTTCTCTATGACAATTCCAGGACCTTAATTGGGATTGGAACCAAACTTTGATATATGATAACATACAAGAAGAGGGCATTTAAACATCCTGCTCAGCTAAATGGACACTCCCTCTGCTGGAAGGGATAGGTACAGGCAACAGTATTTCTATACATATTCATCCTGTAGATGCCTTTTCACACAGAAATTAAAATTTACTTCAATTAAATTTTTAAGATTACACCGGCAAGTGCAGAAACTTTACAAAGTTTGTTATAATAGTATACCAATGTTATAATTAATAAATTAAGTCTTTATTTTTCTTTTCAGGTTCAGTCACCACCTTGTCCTTGGGAGTTTTATATATGTAATGAATTACAAAACAGATTAACACAGATGAATAATCCTATTGATATTGTAGGTTTTCGTAGTTTATATATATATATATCATAGGATTTATATTGATGGATAGTAAGAAATTTCTAGTGTCCAACTTTTATTATACCCCCGTTTCGAAGTAGGAGGTATACTGTCGTACTCCTGTATGTCCTTCTGTCCATCTGTCCCATGAAATTTTGTTCACATTTTTCTCAGGATTTACAAATCAGTGTCCTGAAATTTGTTATTGGATTCCAGGTGAATATGTTTTATTGTGTGATGCATTGTCAAATCATCGCTCATCAACTTTCTGTTTAATGAATACTGAAATATTGTTAACATGCAACCAACAAACAAGAGAAAAAGATAATATGAATTACAAAAGATGTATTGGTCACCTACCAAACTCTAAAAACCAACAACAAACAAGAAAAAAAGAAACACAGATACAACCAATAAGAAATGTTTATACTTTCTTTTCCATTTTATAGACCAACTTCATAGGAAACAAAATACAAACTTGTTCTCCAGATAGCTTTTCCACCCAACCATTTTTCCTAGAAAATTTGTTTTTACAGTAGAACATAATAGAAACATTACATTCACACTTTTAAGAAGTTGATAATTACTTTATAAAATAACTTGATAAAATTGGAACATATCAAAATATTTTGTAAACCATACAAATTGTAAAAAGGTTTATGTGATAAAATGCTGCTAGATGACAACAACTATCCATAGAAGGAAAGTTTTGTCTTTTATCAATAATTTGCCATTGTTTTTATTTGTAGAAACCTGCCATGATGAATGCTAAGAAAGGATACTTTTTCAACAATTGTAGCTGTATTCTGACAGATTACCATGCACAAGGAACCCTTTTGGTATTTGATAATTTATAGTTATTGAGTGTTTTTGGTTTTTGTCTTGCCTGCAAAGAAAGCAGAGAATGGGAGACAAAGAGTGTCTAATCAGGTGGCAGTGACCACATTAACTGTTTGTGTATACTGTAAAACTTTATATATTAGAAGGTAGAAGACCTGAATACTTCATACCTTATATACAGATGTCTTATGTTGTGAGGATTCTGTCTGTCATGTGTCAATTGTCCTTGACCTCATTTTTCATGTACAAGTAATGGGTATAATGAGTTTTTCCAATTGTTAGAGTAACTTAAAAATTAGTTTAAATGACCATTATTTCAATAGTTGCAGCGGAGTGACCACATGACCTACATAGCTTTAATAATCTCTTTTCAGGATCTTGTAAACAAACTGACCAAGTCCAACAGCACTGTAGGTGAAGCCTTAGCTATGTATGTTACCATAGAGATGTTATATATGATTGAATACCTACACAAGTGTCAGATTATCCATGGTGATGTGAAACCAGATAACTTCTTACTAATTGATATGTAAGTCCTTGTGTACTGTATAATAAGTAAATCCCTGTATGCTACCTAATGTGAAGGTATGATTGTATTTCTACCTCCTGGGTGAATATATGTTTATACTACGATATGTATTAAGAAAAGTCATATTTCACTTACTTAGTTCTTGTTTGTTACACTGTAAAACAGGTTTATATAGTCACACTTTGAGTGTGTTCACTGTGTAAAATCATGGCTGATTTTAACTCAACTTGGCTAAAGAATTTTAGGGCACTTTGTGGAAAGTATTCTTTTTAAATACGTTTTACCTAGAATCTGGTTTGGCCATTGTTACTATCAACAAATCATAGACTCAGTTTATCTGAACATTTTGTTGTATCAACTATTACATTTTATGGTATGATTAGGGTTAACTAAATCATGTAAATAGATAATTTTGCATCGTTATGTATTTACTGACTATCTTACTATGACTTCTTGTTTTAAGAGAAAAGTAAACTGATTGAGAAATCTGATTAGGGAAATTTTAAAGTAGATTTTTGTATTGAGACCTTGTATTGAAAGTTTTACAATTACTGGATTAAAATTTTCAGAGAAATTTTGCACCTTTTGTCTATAATCGTTTTAAAATTATGGAGTATTTGTGGTAATGACTGTCTAAAACTTTGAATGCATATTTACATATTTTAATCTAAGTGTTTGCCACTTTTGATAGACCCAAGCTGAAAAGCAGTACTGATCCAACAGTTGTTTTTGGTGGAGGTAGCCGTTGTATGCAGCTGATAGACTTCGGACAAAGTATTGACATGTCTAAATATCCAAAAGGTACAACATTCATGGCTAAAGTAAAGACTTCTGGTTTCCAGTGCATAGAAATGCAGACCGATAGGCCATGGACATACCAGGTATAACAAATAAAACAAAATAATTGTTCGTCATTCTTGTTTCACACCCCTCTGTAGTTATTTTCTTAAATGTTTGTTTTATTAGCTGAATTTAAATCTTTGCATATAACTCATTTTATATAATGCAAACTTCACATGATTTTATAGGCTAAATAAGTCCCTTATATCTCATGTGATCTCAGTTTTCAGGCTGTTAAATATCAAAAGGGTTCAAAATCACATTTTTCAGAGTCAAGAATTTGCTGCTGGCATTTATGTAGTCTGTAAGTGACAGGACTTGCTGACATTGAAATATTCTGCATTTAGCATAGCCTTAATTGTAAATTTTTATAGATAATGTATTTAATTGTTTTCAGACTGACTTATTTGGTTTAGTTGGTACAATCCATGTGTTAGTGTTCAGGAAATATATGCAGGTTTATCAAAGCTACGGAGAGTGGAAAATTACCTCTAGTCTTGTCAGGTAGGTTATAGTGCATGTTAAATCTATGATCTTGGACTTAATGAACATATAGCCTGGAATTGCAAATATAGTCAGATTTATCAAGCCTTTCAAAAATGAGTTAATTTTATTGATAAAATAACAGGTTAATATAACCTGGAGACTTTAGTTCAAAAAGGTCACTTGTAATGTCACAAACCTATTGAAATTGACATATTTGAGCTAAAATGACAATTTTACACATAGTATTTGGACAAAATAGATATGAGCAACAACTTTACCCATATGATATTTTACTTGACCTTGTTTTCAAATTGTGTTTTCAAAATAAAATTGTGTTATATTTTCATATTGCTGTGAAATTTGTGATGATCTATTTATTAGTTTATTTTACTACATTTTACTTCATTTGGGATCTTAATAATGAGGTGAATTTGTAAGACTAAACAGGATTCATTAAACCTTGACCTCATTTTTTCATTTGACATTGTTTTTTTATGAGTACATCAAATACTTTTAGTAGGTCAAGTATGTTTCCTATTTAAATAAACAGGGGCACTTAAATGGTACTCTACGATATTCATTTTTAATTGCTACTCAAGTTTGAGTAAGGACATTTATATTTACATTTCAGATCATGGAATGTACCATTGTGGAAGAAGTTGTTCCATGAATGTTTGAACATACCTAGCTGTGATCAGATTCCAGACATTTCATTGATTAGAAAGGAGTTTGAGGAGTACTTTTGCAATAATTTGTTGGAAAAATATAATAGTATACAAAATGCTCTTTCCTTCCAGTTAGTGAAGTAGAACTAAATGTTGCATAAGCTCATGGATCAGCATTTAAATTTTGGGTTATCCAAAAGCAAGTAGCACTTTTTTGTATATTTTTCTGGTAATTGAATTTAATAGAAAATAAGAAAACCCTGTTAGCTTATTTAATTCTGTTAACTTGTTGTATCTGTCTCCAACTCTATAAAATTGTTTAATAGAAGGAATATAATGTATTAATGTCATTTAGGGTAAAAAAAATATTTTTACAAAACCACTGTAAAAAGTAGTCAAAATAGTGTTGATTATAGAATTAAATCAAAACCATATTAAAACATGATATCTTGGCTAATTGTTTACTTTAATAAATATAAGGCAGTATAAGCTCCTGCTTTTTAGCTCACCTGGCCCAAAAGGGCAAAGTGAGCTTTTCTCATCACTTGGCGTCCATCATTCGTCGTCATCATCCGTTAACTTTTACAAAAATCTTCTCATCGGAAACTACTGGGCCAAATAAAACCAAACTTGGCCTAAATCATCCTTAGGGTATCTAGTTTTAAAAATGTATCCAATGACCACGTCCATCAACCAAGATGGCCGCTATGGCTTAAAATAGAACATGGGGGTAAAATGCAGCTTTTGGCTTATATCTTTGAAACTAAAGCATTAAGAGTAAATCTGACATGGGGGTAATAATGTTCATCAGGTCAAGATCTATCTGCCCTGAAATTTTCAGACACATCAGACAACCCGTTGTTGGGTTGCTGCCCCTGAATTGGTAATTTTAAGGAAATTTTATAGTTTTTGGTTATTATCTTGAATATTATAATAGATAGAGATAAACTGTAAACAGCAAAGTAAGATCTACAAATAAGTCAAAATGACCAAAATTGTCAATTGACCCATAAAGAGTAATTGCCCTTTAAAGTCAATTTTTCACAATTTTCGTAAATTTTTGTAATCTTTTACAAAAATCTTCTCCTCTGAAACTACTGGGGCAAATTAAACCAAACTCGGCCTAAATCATCCTTAGGGTATCTAGTTTAAAAAATGTATCTGATGACCCCGCCCATCAACAAAGATGGCCGCCATGGCTAAAATAGAATATGGGGTAAAATGCAGTTTTTGGCTAAAATCTCTGAAACCAAAGCATTTAGAGCAAATCTGACATGGGGGTAAAATTGTTCATCAGGTCAAGATCTATCTGCCCTGAAATTTTCAGACGCATCAGACAACCCGTTGTTGAGTTGCTGCCCCTGAATTGGTAATTTTAAGGAAATTTTGCAGTTTTTGGTTATTATCTTAAATATTATAATAGATAGAGATAAACTGTAAACAGCAAAGTAAGATCTACAAATAAGTCAACATGACCAAAATTGTCAATTGACCCCATAAAGAGTTATTGCCCTTTAAAGTCAATTTTTAACAATTTTTCGTAAATTTTTGTAATCTTTTACTAAAATCTTCTCCTCTGAAACTACTGGGCCAAATTAAACCAAACTTAACCTAAATCATCCTTAGGGTATCTAGTTTCAAAAATGTATCCGATGACCCCGTCCATCAACCAACATGGCCGACATGGCTAAAATTAGATCATAGAGCTAAAATGCAAGTTTTGTCTATTATTTTGTGAACCATTATAAATAGAGAAAATCTGAAAGGAGCAAAAATGTTCAAAATGATGAGCTCTACCAATTGTCCATATACGTCAAAACTGTCAGACAAATTCTTATAGGATTTATTGCCCATAAATGACAAATTTACCTTTTTTTTTCATTTTTGCCTATTATTATGAAAACTATGATATTTAGAGAGAAACATTTTTTTCCCGTTATGCCTTATATGATTTAAATTGTAATAGATAAATAAACATTTTAAATCACAAAAATGATCAGCAAGGCAACATCTGTTAAAAAGTCAAATTTTGCTGATATAGTTAGTAGACTGTCACTCTTCATAGGAGTGATTGCTTTTCAATAAGGTTTTTTTTACCCTCTTTTGCTTTTGTGTTTTGAGCAAAAACTAAAGAAGATAGAGAGAAACTAAACAGACTAAAAGATCAGTAATACAAGATCAACAAAATAGAGATTTTTGTCATGAAGTCTATTCTCGTCTACCAAGGTGAGTGACACAGGCTCTTTAGAGCCTCTAGTTGAACTGCTATGAACAGAAGCTGGGTCAATATAAAAATAAGGAGATTTTCTGTTTCAGATCTTGTTTATAGAGACAGAATATGTGTATAAATGTAATACAAAACTAGTTGATTATGTAATCTGTAATAAAGTTAGTCAGAAAACTAGAATATGTTTTTGAATGAAATTATGACTGCTTACTAGCACTAGGAAAGATATGAGAGACAATATAAACAAAACTTTAACATATTTTCTATGAAAGTTATGCATATTTTGTTTCATAATCATCATTGTTCTGTATCGATTTTTTTTTAATGATTGTGTTATTGGATATTTTTCTAGACAATGGTGGAAATTAACATATACCAATTCTGTGTTCAATATGTCATATTTGCTTCAATGTGTTCAAATAAATGTAATAATAATGAAATATGTGTGTATATTTTCTCATTGTTAATGTGAAAAATGTATCTCTGTAAATAATTTCTATTATATATATAATGTTTATACATATGTATGATTTTTGTTTGAGAGTAAGTGCTTTATTTTCTAAAACTATATTCTTCACTAGCTCTTTTTATGTTACTAGTTTAAGGTTTAACCAAAGAATATTGTTCTGAAATTCAGTTTGTTATTTGATTGTCTTGCTTATCATACCTTCATCTTCACCCAAAACCTTTGATACAATTTCATAGAATTTAAAGAACTGTAAAAGTAATGTGCACCTCCAATTACACATTTTGATGTAAATGAGTTTTGTGGTTTCTATTAGCAATTCAACAGTAAAGTTTTGATTACATGTTTAGATAGATATAATTTTTTAAGCAACGAATGAAAAGTTAATTATATACCAATATGTAGACTGTACGTGAATCTCCTTTCATTAGAATGTTTCTAAGATTCTATTTCCTAAACTTCATAAGATTGTTAGATTTTTTTAGGGTTTTACTCTAGTCGCTACTGGATATACTAGTCTAAACTAATTAAACTTGACTGGCAAGAATATTATTTCTACTTACAGATTATTTGACCTCATCATAGTTCAGAAAATTTCAATTAGAATGCTTCAGATTGAACCAATAAAAAAAAAATATCAGTATCAAGAGAATGAATAGTTGTAACATCTAAATGTTGGTACATGTATAAAATTATATATTTTCTTTATATCTGACCTTATCTTTTTTCTGCTTCTATTCATATTCAATGTTTACATAACCTTTTTACAGAGAAATAAACATGTATATAAACTGTCAATGTCTTCAAATATATTTATAGAATTTTATTTGTTGCAATCACTGTTACTGTCCCTTTTGATAGAATGAAATGCATTGTACAATCAAACCAGACCAGGAGTAAACTAGATTCAAAATGTTTCAAAAATTTTATTAGATAGTCAAGTTTGTTGCATTTCTTAATGCTTTCAGCTGCTAACTTTGACAATGTTTCTTTTGTATGTTGCCAAAAATGCAATCCCCTATCTTCTTCAGAAGATAGCCCACTTGGACAAGGCAAGTTGTAGTTAAAACAATCAAGAAATGGTTTTAGGGTCTTCAAGTAATTTTTTGTCTGGATTCCGAAAATCAAAATAGGAGCCTGCTCTTGATGGGGAGTATACAAGCCTATCATATAGATTAAGCCAATTTCTGTCAAAAAGTCATTTATTTCCAGCATTATTTTTTATGGGAAGGTTATAGATAATTCCTGGTTGAAAAAGATTCCTTAGCAAATTTAATTTTTGTTCCTTTGTTATTTGCAACCAAAAGCCAATGTCGTTTTTATATTTGTATTTATGTTTGAGATTGTGTTGTATAAATAGAGGCTTCAAATGGTCTGTTTGTCTCTTCTTTCTTCTATACATCACATTGAATTAATTTGAGAAAATGTTTTTGCAGCAGTAAAAAGGAAAATTCTGGCATTTCAATTTTGAAAGGACATTTTTCTTGCCTGCTTCAGATATTGTAGAAACAAGACATAAGTATTACTTTACAGCATTAATGTTGTAAAGATTTTAATTTCTGAAGGTGTAATACGTATTCATTTTTATTCTGTAGTTAGTCACTACTTCGGTGTTAACATGTATATCTATTATATAGTCATTTTATAAATTTACTGTTTGCAAAAGTATGAATTATTCTAAATACTAAGGATTTTCTTATCCCAGGCATATAACCTTATCCGTATTTGGCACAACTTTTTGGAACTTTTGGTCCTCAATGCTCTTCAACTTTGTACTTGTTTTGGCTTTCAAACTTTTTTTATCTGAGCGTCACTGATGGGTCTTATTTACGCGTCTGGCGTATTAAATTATAAGCCTGGTAACTTATGATAGCTATTATTTGTGTGTATCTCTGACCTGTATGTTCTCCCATTTATTTGTATTGTAGTCCTGTCATGTAATCTTGTCATTTTAATGTTATATTTAACATTGCCATAAAAGCGGGAGGTTTGGCTAGCCACAAAACCAGGTTCAACCCACCAGGAAAATGACCATTGTTATATTATAGTTTGTTTCTGTGTGTGTTGCATTTTAGTGTTGTGTTTCTGTTGTGTCGTTGTTCTCCTCTTATATTTGATGTGTTTCCCTCAGTTTTAGTTCGTAACCCCGATTTGTTTTTTTCTCAATTGATTTATGAATTTCGAATAGCGGTATACTACTGTTGCCTTTATTTTGCAGCTGAACTTATTCCGAGTGGACTTGGAAACCGTTAGATGCAAGTCAACAGCACTTCATGGTGTTGTAGGCCTTTGTTTCTTATTGATACTAAGCGTTTAAGTTTTGCAATATGTGGGAGGGAAAGTTTTGGTTTGGTTTTTTTTTTTTGGGGGGGGGGGGGGGGAGGGGTAAAAGGAGGGTGAACTAAAAAAAAAAATAATTTCAAATGGTCTCAACTTGAAAACTAATGAAAATAATGATAAGGGGTCTTCAGTAATTATTGTAAGACTAAATGGCATGATTTGGTTGGGGAAAGGGGTGGGGAGTAATTTCTGCTTGATATGTTTCATTTTCAGCATTTTTCAGTGTTACTTATTCTATTAACCTACATTGTATTTTCAGTATACTTATATCGAGCGCATGCCCCCCAGACCTGGCAAGTAAGCCTGGGTCTGGGAAACCCCTGCCCAAATTTTTTTGAAGTGTGTTCCAGCATTATACAGGCCCTGGGGGATACAATACAGCTTCATTTTTTAATGGTACTTTCGTCACATCTTCTGACCTAGTATTTCCTGGGTTACAATTTTTAGGGGTAGGGGAATTTAATTGCTGTTCGTTTGGGAGACTTTCGTAACAGCATCCTGTTACAATGATATCTTGTTCTTTAATGTTTCATGATGAGGTAAGTTTTATAGAAATTAGAAAAGCCATGATGTATTGTGGAATGATGCATAATGGCTGAACATGTCAATATAATAGTTGACCTCATTTTCATGGATAGCTGACTAATGCTTTATTGACTAAGTTTACAACTGTCTCTATGACCTTGAGGTACCGTTCTCGCCTGTAGTGAAGAAGTCTTAGGTTCAATCCTCACCTGGGTCTAACAAAAGATTTTAAAAACTGGTATTTGCTGCCAATCACGAAATATTTGCAAGTAAGATCAAAGTAAGAATAATGTGTCAGGGTAGGGCAACATTTCTTTTGTGGATTGTTACCTTGTATACCAATCCAGCCTGCCCTTAAAATCACTGACTCTTGTTTCTATCAATGGGAAGGTTGACTATCAATGTATTATAGATTATTATAGATTGAAATTCGACCTACCCATTGATAGAAACAAGTGCATTTGGTTAAAATATAAAGCAAGGTATATTCAAGGTGCATGTTATATTTGTCACTGGACATTATTCGTTATCAATTAATTAGTTTTCATGATGTCATTTTTTTCTTCAAAACATTTAAATGATAGACTTGATAGAATGTTTTGTTGGTGGACTCACGGTAGTGGATATCACTGGTAATATTGAGTCAGCAGTCTCTTAAAATGAAGAACCATGATAAATTAATTAACGTTAATGTATCCTGCTGATGGTGTTCAGGCACTGAAACGCTGAATTCTGAGCTTAATTTCAGGTATAGATTCTATAAGATTAAGGATGGCAATAATGAAAAGCAATAAATTTGAGGCATATTCAGACTACAATGCCAAAGTTGAACTAGCAACCCAGGAAAACACATGTGTCACGTGATTATTTAGGTCATTACAAATAAATGGAGATGCAAGATCAACACAATCGAACATTTAACACAATAACGCCAATAAAAGTCATCTAGACACCATCAAACAGTGCCTATATAGTCAAAGCTCTAAATCGTTCCTTAGTTATAAAAATATCTAGTTTTAAAGGTGCTGCCTTATTTTCAAGGCTTGTTCAGTATCTAGGGTTAGCACATCTTCCTTGTTACTTTACATGATAGAACAAATAGATTGAGCTTTGTGGCGTAGATGGCTGATGATAAGTTTAAATACATTGAAATGTTGGATAAGTCTCAATGTCATCACCCCAACAAAATTGAAAAATAAATAGATGATTGATTGTTGTTTGCTTATCTTCCAGTGGCAAATAGCTCAGGCATACCCAGGACAAGAACAAAACAATAAGAAATACAAAAGGGAGGCGCTGCCATAATGGACTACCAGTATGAAGGATGGCAAATTTACTTACTGGAAATGGGCATGCAACTCGGGTTGCCATGTCTTCTAAATTTTCTGATTTTCAATGGACTTCCAATATTTTCTTCTCTTGGGCAAAATTTCATATATCCTATATTTGACCCCAAAAAGGGGGGAAAAGAATGATGTGGGTCAAAATAAGAAAGCTTCGTCCTAAGTTCTTTGATTAAAGAATTAAATTAAAGATATGTTTGGAACATGGGTAAGACTGTAGCAGTTAATCAGAAATAAAAGTTAGTGTTAGTTATCGTATTTTCTAAATATCTAAATTCATTTGATGAAACTGTAAAATACAATCATACACAGGTTATTATTTCTGGCGTTGAAAAAATAAAAATCAATTTATGATATCATCTGTAACTGACCATTTTTCCTGTTGATCTAGTATGAGATATTTTTGTGGAGGAACAAAATTTAACCTTTCTTTGGGAATTACTTAAGATGGTAATAATGATTATGTGACTTAGCTGATTCAACCTTTTTCTCAGATTTTTGCTCTCGTTTCAAAAAAAATTCTGCTGAAAATTCATGACATTTTTATATCGGCCTCTGGATTTCAAAATGGATTTCATACCACTATGTCATGAAAACAAGATTGAAATACTCCCATTTTTGACTACAAAATCATGCTCTTTTGTTTTGATGTCGTTCGATGGACTTCCAAGTAGATTCCGTACAATGTTGTAAAAAAAGGTTGAAATACTATATCTGCTGGCTCAGAAACCATGGTCTCTTTTGTTCTAATATCGGTAGCTGGACTTCCAAGTAGATTTTATGCAGCAGAGAAAGTACAGAAATGAGAAGCTAGAGCAGCCACGAATCAGATTTAGTATTTATAATTATCCAAAAAGTCCATTTCGCTTACCTTAACATGTGGTACTGTCTAGATAGCAACTTTCCAAGCCTATCAAGCCGGTCTTATGTACTACCTAATTTCGCCATTATTTAACCCAATACTGGCCAGGTTCTTAGATTGCCAACCAGGATTCATTGCTTCTCTTTATGTAGCCAACATTAAGCACTTGTTGATAAACAGTTTTTGGCATTTTACAGAGTCTGCGAATCTTAATTCTTTGAAATTCGGACAGATTTAGATTCTGAGTTCAGCGGTCAAATATAACTTCGTGTATTTATTTCAATAGACAGATGCTCGAATGTAGTCTTTATTGCGCCAAAATTTGATACAATTTGTTTGACTTGCATGGTCCGATATGTGAACTGATATTGTTGAACAGTTAGGAAATTTCTGCCCTATGGATTTGATATATATGTTTTCTTCTGTTCTTATTACTGCCAAGGATTTGTATTAAGTACTATACAAATCCTTGGCAGTAATAAGAACAGAAGAAAACATATATATCAATTCCAAAGTATTACTATACAAATCCTTGTTACTGCCGAGTAGCTCTACTCATATCTTTATCAAGTTTAAATTTTCCAAAAAAACTTATAAAAATAGAAAGAAAGAATAATATTTACACTATTGTATCTGTTAAACGAACTTGTACAACTATGACCATGCATTCTTAAACTCGGGGATTCCACCAAGATGCGTTTAAAGCTTACATGTAAATCATAAAAGGAATTATGGACAGTCAAAACAGAAAATCGTTCCGGACGCAGAATCCCAAAAGGGTCTACGGTCATTAGCGTTAAACTTTCAAATACTAGTAATATAGGATAATATAGTTGTGCGACCACTTTTTCAAAAGTAAAAATGATGTACAAAACAAAACAATAAATTAAGTTGATATTGAGAGAATGTCAAATGAAAGAGATCAAATATTAGTATAATAGTATATGAGTAAACACTAATATAAAGATGATGGATAACTCAGAGACATACACCCCAAGAACAAAAAACATCGTTTCCCATTTCATACCAGCATGCACACATAGAGGAATAAAGGATTCTTAAAAAAGAATAATTGATGGACGGACGACAGCATTTTTGTTGCAGGTTGGCAGATCAAACACTATTTTGAAACTAGCCCAGATAAGATGTTTGATAGAGAAAGAAGGGAACATTTGGAGACAAAAGAAAACAGATGGACAGCAAGTAATGCAAAATACTTGTTTTTTTCCAGCTATGCTGAAACTGCATTAGGAATATTGCCACGACCATCCATAGGCGTTTAGTTTCAAAATCCTGTTTTAGATAATATACTGGTGTCATTTCAAATACTAGCATTATAAACCAAGGTGTAACGAAGCAAACACGTGCGTAAAAAGGCCAAAATCGCATCAACTCGAAACGGAGTGCATGGGACCAAGGTGAACATCTGTTATCCGTGCATCGCCCATTGTGCGATTCCAAAGTCGTATCCCCGGTCAGGAACATGACAAATTGTAAATAATGTGATATAGAAGAGAGTGCACGTGTCGGATCAATGTCACACTAAAGTATGTGCGCACGTACAATTGGTTTAACTAAAACTTCAAATTTCTGTTGGGAGGAGTTACTAATGGTTTGATATACATGTACTAAAATGGAAAGATAACAAAAGAAAATTGAAATTATGGCGTTTATATCAGTGTAATATCTACAAAAATTACAAAAAGCTGGACCATTTGTGTCTCTATAGTAAAGTTTAAGTAGATGTTTAACAAATTCTTAAAAAAACAAACTAAAAAAAAAAACACACAAATATTCTGATCATTCTCCGTTAATATTCAAGTTATTTTCGTCCTAAAATACACTCTAATCTTGAACAGGGTGTTGTTGGTCCTGGTTGGTGCAAATTCATAACAGTCGACCAGAAATCCATTCTATTTCCATACAAATTGCTTTTGATGACAGTATTCAAATCCAACAAGGCATACTTCTTTGTTATTTCAGTATACGTTGGCCAGTGCACTAATCCAGGACCATTCACATTCCTAAAACAAATAATTAAACATAAATTTTAAAATATATTTTAATGACTGTCGATTTAGACGTTTTCAATCTTAAAAAGTACGGAGACAAGCTGGTCAATGATTGGGTATGCAGAGCTTACCTTTCGAATACTAGTGGGAAAATATTGCATTAATGCGTTGTTACTTAATTAGCATGTCTACATGTAAGCAAGGATTTGTAAAGTCTTACTATACAATTCATTGATGAAAGGATGCAAATATAAATTTGTGTAAGCATGCAATATGACCATGTCAGCGATTATGATTCTAAGTTGATTTAATACTAAATGGTGTTTTTTTATTACTCGTCCCGAGCTGCAATCGGAAGTCATACAATATAAAAAGAATGTGTTAATCTATTATTTTTGCACCATTTCTATGGCAGCCGCTTGATTACTAATACACTTTATAAACTTGCCCCGTTTTAGCAAAATTACTCCAATACTTCATAAGCATTGTTCCAATTATCCTGTCTGCTGTTGTCAAATTTGATTCTTGTCCTCTGAATGGAAAGAGAAAATACAAATCAGCTCCGTGACCATTGGCTTTGTACCAGGGAAACAAGGCACTCATCTGTTTGGAGAACATCGAGTGGGGTTTAAAACTGTACAGATACTGTTTTATGTTTTGGTTTCCACTGGCATGAAATTTCAAACTAAGTATCTCGGGAAAATAAAAGAACAAATCACTGTACAAATTCACAACATTCAAAGCTTGTTCCTTTTGAGAAATACTAGATGAATACTGTTTGTTTATATCAGATTCCAAAGCTGACATATTGTTGAAATATTGCTTTACAACAACTGGAATAATGTGATTTCGAAAATAATCGGAAGGTATTCCCTCAGAAATATTGAAAGAAAGTTTGCTTTGTACTTCCTTTATTCCATATGCTATTGCTAGCACTTCTAATTCACAGCCTCCAAAAATAACATCTAATGATTTGTAAAATTCAAGACCCGGTGATTGTCTACCATATAGAATATTTTGTGGCGATTGTTTAAGAAACACTCCATCAATAACAGGAGCAAATGGAATATCAAAATACACATCCGTAGAATTATTGATGGTATATGTAGTTTTGGATATTGCATTGAAGGCCTCAAGTAGCTGTCTAACAGTTTTATTTCTCAAACAGGTCAAAGTCTCATTTGTTAGACTGTCATTGCAATGGACTGTCCTAGAAAATAACTTCGCCTTTTTTCTAGCAGCTGTAGACATGGCTATAACTGAATTACTCGCACCACTTTGTGCGATCACTCGATGGAAGAGTCCTTTGTTTGCTGGATTTAAAGCTTGTAGTGCCACGCTAAAAGCACCTGCAGATTGACCAGCTATTGTTACAGAATTTGGATCCCCTCCAAAACTTTCAATATTGTCATGAACCCATTTAATCGCCATTTGTTGGTCCCAGAGTCCGTAATTTCCGAGTGCTACATCGTCCATAGTGCTGAAAAATCCAAAAACTCCTAATCTGTAATTTATTGTTACCACAATTACATCACCAATGCCACTGAGATACGAACCGTCATAAAACATTCCTTGTCCAAGATAATATCCCCCTCCGTGGACCCATATGATAACGGATTTTGCATTCGACTCTGAAAATCCGGAAGGAACATATATGTTGAGTACTAAACAGTCTTCTGATGTATTTGTATTTGGTACGTATTGATCTACAATCCCATTCACTGATTGGATACAAGATGGTCCAAAACGGGTGGCATCATAAATATCACTCCATGAGCCATAAGGAACGGGCTGATGGAATCTAAGACCGCCCACGGGTGGTTTTGCGAATGGTATATTCCTAAATTCATTGTAGTTCCTTGAATAGTTATTAAATGTGAATGAGGAAGAAATACCTTTTACGTAACCCAGCTTGGTCTTGAGAATTACTGTACTATTACCAAACACAGATGTAAACATCCCCAGAAATAGTAAAACAATTCTTGCCATACCTTTTCTTATCGTTCTGAAAAGATGCATACATAAATAAAGTGTGAAATTTTATTATTACTTAAAATTTTAGTTTGATATTTGAATAAAGGGATTCAGAGGATACATAGCCCTGTTGGTCTCATACAAATAAAGAGTTGTGTTTTTTTTTCTTTCAAAAACAAGCGCTGGAGATGTTAAGTCAAACGCTGTAGATACTAAGTCCAGCACTGAAGATGTAAACCCCAGCGCTGCAAATGTAAAGTCTAGTTCTGTAGATACATAAAAAAAGTCTAGTGCTGGAGATGAAAAGTCGGGCGTTGTAGATACCAAGTCAAGTGCTATGAATCTACAGGGCTGGACTTTAAAATCTCCAGCGCTGGACTTTAAATCTACAGCGCTGGACTTAATGTATTCAGCGCTCGGCTATACATCTCCATCACTAGACTTGGTATACACCTAAAGTACTAGTCTGTCATATATTTTTTTACTGTTGATTGTTTTATCATATACATGACTTGGGTCTCTCGTTTGATTTGATTAACATTTTGTCATGTAAGGGTCTTTTATAGCTGTAACTTACTATACGGTATATGTTTTACTCAATGTTCAAGACCGTTCGGCGACCTTTGTACTATCGAACGACGCAAAACTGATCTTGAATAAAAATGGTTTGATACAAACGACAACTCGTCTAAATTACCCTTCTACCAGAAAAACTTGTAAATTTGGCACAAAAGCAAAACGAAAAGATCGCTAATAGGTACAAAGAGAACCAGTAGCTATGAATTGGTCACTGAAAATGGCAGATATAATAATATCTAAAAGCGAAATGCATTTATTTCATTTTGTTTTCAACAATTCAATTATAATATTTTACTGACGAGAAACTTAATTTCTGGAACTATCGCAAACAGTTAAGTTAAGTCGTAAATGCATTTATTTTATTTTCTTTTCAACAATTCAATTATAATATTTTATTGACGAGAAACTTAATTTCTGGAACTATCGCAAACAGTTAAGTTAAGTTAAGCCTTTTTCAACTGATTTTTGTCTCGCCTGCAACGAAAGTCGCAGTATGCGAGACATAGGTATTACTATCCGGCGGCGGCGGTGGCGGCGGCGGTGGCGGCGGTGGCGGCGGCGGTGGCGGTGGCGGTGGCGGCGGCGGCGGCGTAAACTGTTTGTATAAAGCTTTATATATCAGAAAGTAGAAGACCTGGATGCTTCATACCTTGTATGCAGATACCTTATGTTACGAAGTTTCCGTCTGTCATATGGCCATTGTCCTTGACCTCATTTTCATGGTTCAGTGACAGCTTGAAAAAAAATACAGTTTTTTTGTCATGTGAATTTCTCACTTATTATGAGTAATATGATTTTATAAACTATATTTGGTATATGGGTTCCTTGCAACGTCTACATGTCCGTCAGACAGGGTTAACCTGACCTCGACCTCAATTCATGGATCAATGATCAAGGTTTAAGTTACGTGATTGGGTCCGTTTCTCAGATACTACAAACAGCAGGTCAACTATATGTGGTGTATGGAATGATTGTAAGGGGTACATGTCAGACTGGCAGGTTTCATCTGACCTTGACCTCATTTTCATGGTTCATTGGTCATTGTTAATTTTTTGTGTTTTGATCTGTTTTCAAGTACTATAAGCAATAAGTCAACGATATTTGGTTTATGGAATGATGTAAGGTGTACATGTCTGTCTAGCCAGTATCATCTGACCTTGACCTCATTTCTATGGTTCATTGGTTAACATTAAGTTTTTGTGTTTTGGTCTGTTTTTCAATTACCATAAGCAATGGGTCAACTATATTTGGTGTATGGAATAATTGTAAGGTGTACATGTCTGTGTTACAGTTTTTATCTGACCTTGACCTCATTGTCATGGATCTTTAAAAATGTTAAGTTTATGTGATACTTGTAGTAAAACCTTTATCTTTATGACTTTCAACATAAAATCAATGGTCAGTAAAACAAGCGATACAGTTCAGCGTGTGCACTCTTGTTATAGTTTGTTCTTATGGTGTGCTGTTACACCACTGACCCAGGTCAGGGGAGGGTTCAGCGCTCACAAACATGTTTAACCCCGCCACATTCTTTATACGCCTATCCCAAGGCAAGAGCCTGTAGTTCAGTGGTTGTCGATGGTTCATGTCTGTCATATTTGTTTTTCGTAAATTGTTTTGTTATAAATAGGGCCGTTAGTTTTCTCAATTAAATTTTTTCATATTTTTCATGTCGGGACCTTTTATAGCCGACTATGCGGTACGGGTTTTGCTCATTGTTGACGGCCGTATGGTTGCCTATAATTGCTTACATCCACTTCATTTTAACTTTGATGGATAGTTGTCTCATTGGCAATCATACCACATCTCCTTATTTTTATAATTTATATTTAGCAATGCCCATTAATATTTTGGTCGATTATTATCACTGGAAAAAAAAAAAACAGTACACTTACAGCGTTGTCATCCAATCCCGTATAAACTGTGCGTTCCAGTCAACAGTCCGATGAAATCATAACAGATAAAATCAGTGATATCCAAATGACTAATTCAAATCTTATCCTCTTATCATAAGTAGCACAGGTTTTTGTATCACTTAAATAACAAATTTACTAAACACCAGAGTTATTTTAAAATTGACGATTACTGATAGTATCAGTTTATTCATCTCAGAACGTAAATATAGTTGTCTTTATTTGTTAGGACGACCCCCTTGCCTCGCAAAATTCCACAAAATTTAAAAACGGGTAAAGTATAAGATATTTAATTTTGAATTGCACTAAACGGTTCTGAATTTCGACATGTTGGTCCTTTCGTCTAGTTTCCGTCGACCAGTATTCGACAATCGATTGAATATTGTTGTAGGATTATTCAATTGTTGTAGGATTTTTCCTTTCAGATGTAATTCACTTTATTTCTTCAATCAATCCTTTATTCTTAGAGTTGATTAAATTTCGATCGTGTAAGAGTTTATCAATTCAATCAACTGTCTCGTCTTGTTTTCGAGATTCACGATCGTAGCATTAGTATTCAATCGCTACGGTCGGTCAAGAGTTGATAAATGCAATCAACTGTCTCAACTGATTTTCAAAGGGTCACGATCATATTGATCTTATTCAACCATTTCGACCAGTAATAAGAGTTGATAAATTCAAACAACTGTTTCATCTGGATTTCAATGGTCACGGTTGTATCGATCGTATTCAATCGTTACGACCGTTCAAGGGTATATCAATTCAGTCTGATTTTCAAGGGTCATCATTGTATCAATCGTATTCAATCGTTAAGATCGTTTAAGAGTTGATCAATTCAATCGTTAAGATCATTTAAGAGGTGATGAATTCAATAAACTGTCCCCTCTCGTTTTCAAGGGCCACCCTTTTATCTATCGTATTCAATCTATACGATCGTTCAACAGTTGAACAATTTGGTTTTCAAGATCCACGATCGTATCAATCGTATGTAAACGTTACGATCATTTAAATGTTGACCAATTTAATAAACTGTCTCTTCTAGTTTTCAAGGGTCACGATTTTATAGATCGTATTCAATCGTTACGAACAAATCAATCAACTAGCCGTCACATCTGGTTTGCAATGGCCACGGATCGTATTAATCGTATTCAATCGTTACGATCATTTAAGGGTTGATAAATTAAATCATCTGTCTCTTCTCCTTTTCAATACTTCCGATCATATATCGTATTCAAACGTTACGGTCGTTCAAGGATTAATCAATTCAGTCAACTATCTCATCTGGTTTTCAAGGGTCACGATCGTATCAATCGTATTCAGTCGTTAAAATCGTTAAAGAGTTGATCAATTCAATCAACTGCCTCTTCTCGTTTTCAAGGGTCACCTTTGTATTGATCGTATTCAATAATTACGATCTTTCAAGAATTAAACAATTTGGTTTGCAAGGGCCACGATCGTATCTAATTGTTACGATCGTTTAAGTGTTGATCAATTCAATCAACTGTCTTTTCTCGTTTTCAAGGGTCACGATTTGATCGACCCTCTTTAATCGTTACGATCGTTCAAGAGTTGGTAAATTCAATCAACTAGCTGTCACATCTGGTCTTCAATGGCCACGATCGTATCAATCGTATTCAATCGTTACAATCGTTCAAGGGTTAATCAATTCAATCAAATGTCTCATCATCTGGTTTTCAAGGGTAACAATCGTACCAATCGTACTTTATCGTGAAGATCGTTTAAGAAATGATCAATTCAATCAACTGTGTCTGCTAATTTTCAAGGGTCACCTTTGTATCGATCGTATTCAATCGTTACGATCGTTAAAGAGTTGAACGATCTCAATTTCAAGGACCGTGATCGTATCAATCGTATTTAATCCTTATGATCGTTTAAGTGTTGATCTATTCAATCACCTGTCTCTTTTCGTTTTCAATGGTCACGATTTGACCGATCATCTTTTATCGTTACGATCGTACATGTAAGAGTTGAACAATTCAATTAACTAGCTGTCTCATCTGTTTTTCAAGGGCCACGATCAATCGTATTAAATCGTTACAATCGTTCAAGAGTAAATTAATTAAATCAACTGTCTCTTCTCCTTTTCTATACTCCCGATCGTATCGATCGTATTCAATAGTTACGATCGATTAAGAGTTGATTAATTCAATCACCTGTCTCGTGTGATTTTCAAAGGTCACACTCATATCAATCATATTCAATCGTTACGATCGTTTAAATGTTGATCAATTCAATCAACTGTCTCTCGTGCGTTCAAGATTCACGATCGCATCGATTGTATTCCATCTTTACGGTCGTTTAAGGGTTGATCAAATCAATCAACTGACTCATGGGTTTTCACTATATATCTAGAGCGATAGTCGAGTGGCACATTGATGCTAAACAACATGTATATCTAGAGTAAAAATATGGTTTATTGGTATACATATGGTACAAATAAATGATATATATTTAAAGATCGAGGATTTATGATAATGAAGAGGAGGGACAATGGGGCTCAATATAGGGTCATGTCCTCCACCACAAAGAACTTGATATCGTCATGAATATGCATGCCACTGGACGTTAAACAAGCAATCAATCAAAGACGTGTACAATATCACATATATATGTTAGAAATATCAGAGGGTTTCTTATCGTCGAGTTGCAAGTTGCGAGTTGAAAAGGCCGAGTTGCGAGTTAAGAAAGTCGAGTTGTGAGTTAAGAAAGTCGAGTTACGAGTTAAGAAAGTCGAGTTGCGACATACGAAGGTCGAGTTGCGAGTTACGAAGGTCCACAATTTTGAGTTTCACTGCCAAAGAATAAATTTTGGGGTCCCTAACAAATATTGCCTCTGCAGCTCGATGCAGGACGTGACGGCCATACTGCCATGACGTCCATAGGATGAAACGGCCATACCCCGAAAAGATGAAACGGCCATA